TTGAAACGGTTTACGTGAATATATTAATACATTATCCGGTAATTCCAGTTTTGTATCCATATAACACTTTCACGCTAAAATGATAAGTGTATGATTAAAAAAACACAAAAAGAATAATATATGATTTATCTTCAGATAATTTTTATCTCTTAATCCATTGATAAAAATCGGTTCAATATTTTATCGTTTTTTTTCTTCCCCTTTTTCCCGACATGTCTGATACGAAAAATGCGAATTGATGCATTTTGATTAGAAACTATTTTCGCGTGAATTTCGAAACGAAAAAGTCCACGATGCTTGAGCTTCGCAGACGAGAAAACGTATCGCCGAGTGTGTCTTCCGTGAAAGAAAGTCTTGATCATTGATCTGACTTTTTCTTTTATACTTGCCGTGCGCACGGAAGCGTGCACGATGAAATTCGCCGGGGAATGTTATACCAAGCGCGGTCTCGCTGGAAATTGTGTTTCGCTGTTTGTTCCTCCGTCCGTTCAGGAGCTGACATTAATTTAACCTTGTACGAGGTGTATCTAAAAAGTTACGCCAACGCGAGCGCGAAGCAAAGACAGATGACGTTTGCAGAGAACTGAATTCTTACCTCTCGCTGTAACATAACACAGCGCGTGATATTTGAAAAAAAAAAGGTAATACAAATATCCAATAAAAATGCTCCTTTGCGTTACTGACGAATATTGAATGGATTTAAATCTTATTAGCATTGTTAGCTCAATACAATATTCTATGTGAAATTTCTATTTTACTAAATTATATGTTAAGAAATAATGAAAGAAGGGGATTATATCTGTTGTTTCATCTCTCCGAGATAATAGAAAGACTTTTATTTTATTTAGAACCTCGCGATAACAACAACTCTCGATGTTATTATAGAGCGTATCAGAGTTCAAGATTTTCTAAATTTCCAGTGATGTTAAATTCTGCAGTTACACGAATTTGATTCAAAGTTTTATAGCACGCTTCGGGTCTTGTCGACATGAAATGTCTATGGAGAGCGAAAGGGCCGAAAATGGGTTGGCGAGGTCGGGAATTGTGGGTCTTGAGGTGCACCAGACGACAATAGTCCACCGGCGAGAACTGGCAATTTCTCAGTTCGGCGAACGGCCGTGGAAAATTGAGGAACTATTTTCACACGCGGTACCTCACCCCCATCGAGCCACCAATGGTAGCGCAATGCACTCCCGTCGATATCTCTCGACCATACAGGGTGCACCGGCGCGATAGTCTTGCTCACCGCTATCGGCAGGGTATTTCGTCGCGAGAATTCTCTTTTTTTGATATCAAGTGAAATATAGCCTTCGTCGAACATGCGGAAATTTAATGACTTTGCGAAGAGTGAAAAGTAATCATCCCGTCGAGCTTTACCGTACTTTTGGGAGACGTTCGAAGGGTGTCCGTCGTGTTTGCACTAAATAACTTTGTAGAACGGCTTACAGTGTCGACGAGACGGTGAGCTCTGTTTAATTCCAGTACTCTTCGGACGAAGAAATATACCCTCCTGTCGAAGCAAAACAAACAAGTAAAAATAAATATTTGAAAAATTATGTATCTTTCGAAAAGAAAAAAGAAGACTTTTGTATCTTTGACACGATCTTTTTAAAATGGAAGAAAAAGAATATATCATGAAAAAAAAAGGGAAATACTGATTTACCCCTTTTTCCCGACATGTCTGATACGAAAAATGCGAATTGATGCATTTTGATTAGAAACTATTTTCGCGTGAATTTCGAAACGAAAAAGTCCACGATGCTTGAGCTTCGCAGACGAGAAAACGTATCGCCGAGTGTGTCTTCCGTGAAAGAAAGTCTTGATCATTGATCTGACTTTTTCTTTTATACTTGCCGTGCGCACGGAAGCGTGCACGATGAAATTCGCCGGGGAATGTTATACCAAGCGCGGTCTCGCTGGAAATTGTGTTTCGCTGTTTGTTCCTCCGTCCGTTCAGGAGCTGACATTAATTTAACCTTGTACGAGGTGTATCTAAAAAGTTACGCCAACGCGAGCGCGAAGCAAAGACAGATGACGTTTGCAGAGAACTGAATTCTTACCTCTCGCTGTAACATAACACAGCGCGTGATATTTGAAAAAAAAAAGGTAATACAAATATCCAATAAAAATGCTCCTTTGCGTTACTGACGAATATTGAATGGATTTAAATCTTATTAGCATTGTTAGCTCAATACAATATTCTATGTGAAATTTCTATTTTACTAAATTATATGTTAAGAAATAATGAAAGAAGGGGATTATATCTGTTGTTTCATCTCTCCGAGATAATAGAAAGACTTTTATTTTATTTAGAACCTCGCGATAACAACAACTCTCGATGTTATTATAGAGCGTATCAGAGTTCAAGATTTTCTAAATTTCCAGTGATGTTAAATTCTGCAGTTACACGAATTTGATTCAAAGTTTTATAGCACGCTTCGGGTCTTGTCGACATGAAATGTCTATGGAGAGCGAAAGGGCCGAAAATGGGTTGGCGAGGTCGGGAATTGTGGGTCTTGAGGTGCACCAGACGACAATAGTCCACCGGCGAGAACTGGCAATTTCTCAGTTCGGCGAACGGCCGTGGAAAATTGAGGAACTATTTTCACACGCGGTACCTCACCCCCATCGAGCCACCAATGGTAGCGCAATGCACTCCCGTCGATATCTCTCGACCATACAGGGTGCACCGGCGCGATAGTCTTGCTCACCGCTATCGGCAGGGTATTTCGTCGCGAGAATTCTCTTTTTTTGATATCAAGTGAAATATAGCCTTCGTCGAACATGCGGAAATTTAATGACTTTGCGAAGAGTGAAAAGTAATCATCCCGTCGAGCTTTACCGTACTTTTGGGAGACGTTCGAAGGGTGTCCGTCGTGTTTGCACTAAATAACTTTGTAGAACGGCTTACAGTGTCGACGAGACGGTGAGCTCTGTTTAATTCCAGTACTCTTCGGACGAAGAAATATACCCTCCTGTCGAAGCAAAACAAACAAGTAAAAATAAATATTTGAAAAATTATGTATCTTTCGAAAAGAAAAAAGAAGACTTTTGTATCTTTGACACGATCTTTTTAAAATGGAAGAAAAAGAATATATCATGAAAAAAAGAGGCAATACTGTATTAAAAAATAAATGACATATTTAATCACATTTTTTGGGGCTTTTTAACTTTGAAAAATTCATAAATTTTGATTTTTCAGAGAGCAAATTTCTCTCATTCTGTTAGAATTAAACGAATAAATGGATTGATACGACACTTCACTCAACCTTGACCCGCTCAGCCTATATCAGAATTCTTTTTTATGAGAATAACAAGATCTGGACTAGATTGTGGTCTCTCTACCCGGTAGATCCGTCGTGTCGCTTTGCAACAGACCGTATACGCGCGTGAAATATATATATGCGCGTCACGACATTTGGCAATTACCTCGGCATGTACGAGCACTCGATACGCGCTTATAACGTCGCCGGTTTGCCCGGGCGAATACTAGTGCGGACGACAAGCCATAAACGGTATAAGCGGCAACGAACGGCGGTACTAAAACGCGTCCCGAGACGCGTTTTGACTGTCGAACGCTTAATGCAATTTGGCAGTCGAACAAGATCAAGAGGTGGAGGAGACCCCGGAAAATACTTTAATTTTATTAAATTTCCCACTTTATGGATTCCGACATCTATCATTTACATTTGGTAAAAATTCTTTGTTTTCTTCAGGCAGTTTTTATGAGAATGATGTGCGTGTCTTGTCCGACGATGGGGGGAAGCGCCAAAACAAGAAGCGGGAAGAATTACGAATGGCAAACTCGTTGTCATACAGAGTGTACTCTGAGGGATAGTCTTCATCGCTTTGCAGTGTATGTTATAGTTTAGCTGGCGTGCCGCGGTCCTGCGAGGGCGGCAAATACACGCACCGGCGCATATTTCGCGGAAGTGCTTTGCCGCTTTCGTGCATTGCTGACGAGCATGTATACATTAACGAACGATACCATCGCCGTGTAATATTTGCTTCGGGCTCTCCCGTTTCCCCATTATCGCTCGTCGATGTTGCGGCCACGCAGAAGGGGGGAAGAGGGAGAGAGAGCTGTCGCTTTCGATCGCTTCAACGATTGTGATTTGCGCCGTCGCTACCGTCGTTGTTGCCGATTGTTGCATATAACCACGTTCTGTTTATCTATTATTTTCCTGTTCGATAGTCCGCAAACTAATTTCAACAAAGTGAATGACGGTACGCTTGTCCCCGACGATCTATCACGATGCTTAATTTTCTTTCGCAATCAATATTTTATCTCCCACCTCGTCGTCCTGGTGTGTCCTGAGGAATTAATAGCGCGAGTACGGATATAAATCTTCGCTGACACCCTAGGTACAGGTAAATGCAAGTCAGGGTACAGGTAGAGAAGGGTGAGCGCGCGTATAAAAGCGAAAGCGGCGATAGAACGGTTTCGTTCTATTGAAATTATGTCCTTCCATCTGTGCGGAATCTCATCATCTCATCGGGATCGGGATGACTTGATAGCAGACGCGATTTAATTAAGATACGAACAATCCGGAACGCGAAAGAGGCCCACACGTCCGATGGAAATATCGGAAAATACGAGGATCGTGCCGGCGTCGCCTTCGTCATCGTGTCGGCAGTTTTCCAACGACGCGATTACCGGCACCGCATAATAATAACGGACATTCCCGGGATTGCAATGGGAATATTGGATAGATAATTAAACGACAGTCGGCCATTTATACAAAAGTGTCGTGGAGAAATCTACGGTCGTTATATAAGTCGTGTATGCAGAGAGATGAAAAGCTATAGCGATTGTGTGATCGGGATTATGCGTATATATTGATACGAAAAAAAAAGAATAGGATATTGCTCTGGAGTTTAAGCGACGAGATTCACAACGAATGTGTGTATATACATGAAATATTTAAAAACAAAAATATTAACTTTATGATGTTTAAAATATCTCGCTTTTAATACTACTTCATGGTTTGTTGTTTCAGTTGGTGCGATGTACGTGTGCATGCTATACGCTATACTCTTTCTAAAGTTATGGTCGTATATACAAGTGAACATGTGGTGCCGTTTGAGTAGCCGAAAGAAAACCACGCAAGGCAGAATGAGACGTCAGTTGTCCTACAGTAATCTTCAATGTAAGTATAAAAAGTGATATATATATATTATAATATCTTTACGGTATTTTATTAGTATTATATATTAACGCGTTTTATGCGTGCATATTTTTTGTGCGTATATCTGCAACATAAATTTTGATCAGAAGACTAAAGATAAAACAAAAGGATGGAAAAATCTTTCTTATGGCGTTTTTATATACTAGATATTTACGATTTATTTTATGTATACTTTACGTATCTCCGCTATATCATTGCTTCAACGCATACGAATGACTATTTTTTATGTAACATGTTGTCTGCCGTATGCTTTTTTTTTTTTTTGCGGAGCTGTGATGCCGTAGTACGGTTCACCGATGCTGTCAGTAGTTAACCAGGATTTTCGCTCGGGCGGAAGTTGACGGCATAAATCTTCGTCATTACGTACATTTGCGCTTATACCTATAATATAATGCATACATCCAAGTAGTGCAAACACGTTATACGAATCAGTAATCCACTGCATTCGCGGTATTTGCACTCTCCTGAAGGCGCATGCACGTATCATTGTGGCATACAATATATATGTATACGTGCGATTCGTTTATGAGTGTGCACCTGATTGTGCGAATGTATACCTACATATATGCATGCAGAGTGTGGAGTAGAGAGAAATAATTTCCACCAAATTTAAACAGCCGATTTCTCAGGTCTGCCTAGGTTTCCGGTGCCGGACGCACTGCGGTCGATATCGATTATTCAGATGCGACCGACAAAGTCAAATTATATATGAGCGGTCTTTCCCCAATAAACTCACCGTGCGAAGTATTAAACCTTCTTCTCTACAACCGTAGCGACATTAAAGCAGCGAGTCGGTGCGTTTGCACTTTTAATCGTGATTGCGCAAACACGTCCGACGTGACGGAGTTGATTGGCGCGTGTACGTCGAATGGATTCCGATCGCGTTTAGATCAATGCGCGATGATTTATACGATGTCACGTGAAGCTTGTTTTGTACGAGAACAAAAAATTATCGAAAATAGTCAGAACGTCAAAATAGAGATTACTTGAAATTTTCAAGTTTTTTATCTCTCGATGCATGCTCTAGATTAATTTTAAAACAAAAAATATTTATTAGAACTTTTTGATATTTTTGAATATATGAGAAAAAGCGAATCCGGATGGGCTTTCATATACAGATGTGTGCGTATGCCGTTGATTGCAAAAATACGAGTGCGCGATAAGCAAGGTGTTTACGCTTCATCGAAGCGAGAATTTTCTCATGAACGCATAATTTTCCAACCTTCCTCTAAATTTGGCTGCTTGCTAGCATCCAGAGTTTCTCCGCACCGCGTTTCGCGTTCGAAAATTAAGATGGATATTCTCCGATATGGACACGCGCGTATATTCGTGTTCGGCGTTTTATTCGCAACTAATTAGCCCGTTATCCGCTCGGCCGATCTGCATCGTCCTCTCGTCGAGTAATATCTTAATTACGACGCAAAAAGTGACGTAGTTTGATATAATTATCGAGAGCCCATGTTCGCACAACGCTTGGACGCTCATCGCGAGGCGACCGATGTGACGACAACCTGGCCGATCGATCGATAGACAAATGGAATCAACAAAAGCCCGCCCGCGGGACTCCGTTATTACGACCACGAGCTTCGTATAATCTAGCGCACCGTGTGGACGCCGTGTAATTTTCGCTCTCTCCGCCTAACCCGGGTTCCTATAGCGTCGTCGTATTATTACGCCCGTAATGACGACGTAGAACCAGCCGCGGAGCCTGTAACCTAGCCGCGTATACGCATCGTGAAGGCGGGGCACTCTTCGCGTTTTTGTTCGTTACGGGTCGATCGATCATGCGAGAAATGAAGCTTCGTCGGCTTTCGCCTTTCCTAGCAAGAAGCCGGGAACTTCTCCTTTATTCCCCGGTACATCCGCACAAAAGTTTATATCTCTTGTACTTTAAATAATGTGCATACATCGAATTTTCCTCTAGAAAATCGATTATTTTAATGTAATAACTTTTAGTGAACGGAAAGATGAATAAAAAATAAACCGTAGTATACCCGGTACGTTGATCACAGATATAAGAATAAATGCGATTCTTAAAGCTAGTAGGATAAGCTGGAAAAATAAAAGGGAATCGGTACTTAATTTAAGAGAGTACTAGAGTTGAAAGAAAAATGGATGGTGTCGATGTCGTTCTTAGGTCTGCGTCGCGTCGAGGATGCAAGACAATTTACGAGTCTGCAGGATTGCGTGATCAAAGATCGCAGGCAATCGTGTCGAGCGGCAAAAGTCTCTTCTTCCTTCTTTTTCGGCGATGCCGGTGCTTAATTTGTGAGACTTCTCATTCGAGCGGCGTCCTCGTAAGGTTGCTACCTCTTCTTCCACCCTCCACGTTACCTCTGCTCCTCGATATCGATCCCTTTTTTCGAGCCCGTCGTTCGTCCGTCGCGCCAGTTTCGAGATATATGAACGAGGGTGGTCTTAAACGCGAGGCATCCCTTGGCACAAAAGACGAAATTACATCGGCCCTCGAGACGCCCTCGGGCCGAGATTGAAAAAAATAGAAATTACACCCGTCGCGAACGGAAGCTCGCTCGATTCCGCCACATCCCCACGAGACTTCCTCCTTCTCCCCGATACAACCACGATCTCCGATCTTCTTTCACCCTTCTGCGACTATCCACGGACGTGATGGAAGCCGCTAAGGAGACCCGAGAGCGCAGGTAGGCGGATTTTACGCAATCGGAGAACGCAAGGTTGACCTTCGTCATAACGTCTTAAATTTTTTACACACATACACGCGCGCATTTCCTTCCTTGTCGGATATAATCTCTTATTATTACTATAGTTAATTTAAAATGTTAAAAAAAAGAAAGTAAATATATATACAAATATTATATATATATTTCATTATTTATTTCGCTCAAATTTGCCGTACAAGCTATTGCGAATCCAATGGTTACTCGATTAGTGACGTTACTGAAGACACTTGATTGCTCACTTGATTCTGGTTTACACATGTATATAGCGTATAATTATTATTGTGTATTGTACATCGTGTTGCTAGTAGTATGGCACATTAATACAAGGACGTCGCGTTACGATGCAGCCAAGTCACTTCTCGGCCATATTGTGATAAAGAATGTCATGCTCCGTCAAAAATGTGTCAAGGAACATCTATTGCAAGACAAAGCCTATCCCATTAGAGAAAACGATAAATTTTATTGGATCTGACGCTATTCTATCAGCATAAACATTAAATGAAGCATGCATAATCTTATTTATCTGCAAACAAAAAGTACGTGGCTTTTCATCTCTTATTATTTTAAACTATTATTACATAGCGAATTATATTACAAACCAAGCGATATTAATAATTTTTATTTGTAATTCTACATGTCAATAAAATTGGTAAAAGATTCGAGTATTTATATATAATTGATCAATCGGAAATACTTCGAATAAATACAAACAGTTTCTATAAGTCGAGAAAAGAACGGTTTGTAATTAATAATCCACCGAAAGAAGAGCGAAAGAGAGAGTAAGGGTTCACTGGTGTGGTAATCGGAGATCACAGGCTCGATTAAATAAATTTACGTGGAACATTAACGAATCATTAAATCGTTTCCACGTGCTTGTGCGCAATCATGCACTCGCTAACTTTGTATATTTGGACATTCGCCGAAATTACATTGCAATTTTATTATTTCTACCAGTGAGTATGCACAATTCACGGTGTGTTTCATTCAAATGTCCTCTTTACTTGCGTTTATATTTACCTGCAATTTTATCGCGATATATATTATAATATATATAAATATAAATATAGATATACAATCATTGAAGATTAAAATTATTTTGTATCTTTCTTTTTATTACTCGAGAAATGTTTGTAAATGATCGCAAGAACGGTTGACATGCGTCTTGGACGATATTTCTGTAACCAAAAATTTTTTGTTCTGTGGTATGATAATGGATCTCGAAGGAAAAAGAAGGAAAGAAAAGGAGCAACGTTTATTTCAGATATATTAAGCTGTCTTCCAAACCAAATTATCAGAACATAATAAATCATATATGGAATTAACTTGTAAATTTTTTGCTTGAAAAAGTAATTTTTTTGCTCCAACTATTAAAAAGTTAAGAGGGCTAGATAAGTTAAGAATATTTGTTTATTTCGTTATAAGAACGGAGGAAAAGTGGAGCGCGACGAAGTAAATGGGGAGCACGAGGAATTTAATTTGGTCGAATTCTTCTACATTTATTACGTAGGGATGTAGAACGCGACGTCGGAGCTCTCGGTCGTCGACATGGACGTCGATCGGCGTTGCGGGGAACGAGCCGCGAGTAGTACAAAATCCCGATGTCGCGACGCAACCGAGATCGTCGAGTACGAGCAGCAGCATCAGCGCGGCGCGGCTCGACAGTCGGCGCAACCCGGGCTTATTTGAATTCCAGATTGGATTATTCATCGGATTTGGATAATTGAGGGGATTCTATCAGTTACTGGTCCGCGTCGGGGTGGAATTAGACGCGCAGATGGGAATCCACGTGCTTAGCGCGGCGCTGAGGAATTCCGAGCTTCCCGACCGAGGAAATCGCGCGAGCGTTCGGTTTTGTTGTTTAAGGACAATCTGAGAGAGACTCGAGCTCGAGCGATTGTACAAAAGAAAATGTAGTTATGAACTTTTTAGAAGAGTTTTCTAGAAACTCTTATTTTAATTTTTAACGGACTGCGATCGAGTGTGAGCATTTAGAACGTTAATCCTAAAAGTATATTATTCTTTGTAAGATACTTAGATCTTATTAGAGTCTAACATTTTATTATAAATTTTATCTGTCTGATCTTTTCTTTGCCTCCAAATGTAAAAGTTTCTCTACACGAATGTTTATCGTCTATTCGGTTTTTATCTTTGTCTTTTGTTTTATCTTTCTCTGTCACTCGGCCAATTGCTGCATATTTATTTGAAAAACCATTTTCTTATTTGGAATAAAAACAGAGTTATAAGAAACAGTCTTGATAACATCGTATATAATTTATTTTACTTTTGATTAATGACAATAAAAATTGACGAAAATATGATTTCTGTGTTGTAGCTTCCAGCATTAAACAAAGTGCAAATGATGCCAATGACTTTGAGCACAAGATGAGCGATCACGGAAATACATTGGTACAATATCCTGACAACTTAAACTTCGCCGATCTTTATTACTATATATTGGCGCCTACTTTATGCTATGAATTGAACTTTCCTAGAACGCAGCGGATTCGTAAGAGGTGAGTGACCTGGTGTCTTGATTTTTATTTAGAAAGGCATTATTAGCGATTTCAATCGAAAACTGCGATCTGCGTGTTTTTTGTAGAAATATCGTATTAATTTTTAAGCAACAATGAATCATGAATTTCTTCTGAAATCGAATCATCATTGACGATTTTATCTAATCATTGCATGAAATTTCCATAATCTCGTGAGATTGGAATCGACCTTTTGTCTCTTCGCGATATATCGAAAACTTTTGCCAATCGTTTAGGAAACAGTTGGAAAACGAAAGTATTTTGAAAGTTATGCAAAATAGATCTTTTAGTATCCTCTCCATTCGACTTGTTCCTACCAAGCAATATAGTCTTGTTTCTGTTTACATATGTTTTCAAGAATCCCCACTATAGGTTTGCTTCGATCGGGAAGCGAGTCGAGTGGAAACTTGATATTGTCTGAGTTCGGTCACGCGAGCATATACATTGCGTGAGGCGTATAAATCCATGTTTGCTCTCAGATTTCTCGTATAGATTTCGCTATGACGTAACCCCGTGCTATTCTTCTTTGCGTCTTTTTTTTTCCTAAAGAATGTCAACAGATGCCAAAGTTGCTGGTTTACAAAACTCAGATTCCTGCAAACGAATTCCGAAACTTTGAGAAGAAAATTTTAAAGATTCTTTGTGATTTTATCGAGAACATGAATTATTTGCGTAAGTCGAAATAGAAAAAAGTTTAAAATTTTATGTTGGACATATATCGTATGTGTAAAATTTAAATTTATCATATGCCATTCATATTTTATTTTACATTACATTTATATTTTATTAACATAATTTAGTTAGAAATGTGCGCAGAAGATTTCTTCATTAATCCAAAAAAAGAATTGCTCTACTTGTTTAATTTCAATATATTAAATTGTAAGTAGCAATTTGTGCAATATTACGATTATTAATATGATAATAATGTAAAATAAACGTAAAACGAATTATTATAAAATATATGTTAGCAAGGAATTTAGCATTAAATATCTTTACACACATAACTGAATTAATATCAATTGAATTTTGATTTAGATTATTTATTTAATATTAATTATGTATCCTAAATATTATCTTGAAAAGGATTATAAATTATATTTCAGAGATTTAATAAATCTGCGCGTCATATCTTTCTTCAAGTTCGTTCTTCCGACTGTATCGTCATCCTTACCGGTTTTCATAGCTCGCTTTTCCCTTTTGTGCACCAGTATACTTTCCGTGCAGTCGAAAAGTGCATCCAGACTTTGCTTGTCGCCGGCACTTTTCCGGAAACGAAACTCGCGCGGACGACGTGCCGTCGAATGGGAGCGTCGTTTCGCGCGACAGCACTCAAAAGTCGTATTTTCGATTTTTCGAGAATCGGTATATGGTTGAGAGAGCTGGTGGGATGGTAACGAGAACGGGGGTGGGAATTCATGGGGTTGGCCGGAAATCGGTTTGCGCCGTCGATAAAATCTGAGAGCAAATAGATGTGTACTGGTGTCGCATAATGATCAACGTAATAGAATCACGTGGAAAAGAATTAGGTCGGACGGCCGATAAATCCGATAAAAGGTATATCTGCGCGTTTGCCGTAATGGCAGAAATATAAATCTAAATGTAAAAACGGCAAAAGCATATATTACTCTTTTTTAATGGTAAAATCATATATATGTATAATATTTCGTTAAATCATACACAGAGATTTTGAAATTATATAAAATATTATATAAAATTTTTGCACAGAATTTAAGTGCAACCAAAATTAAATAAAATTATATATAAACACAGACATACATACGTACATACATACATATGTTAATCACAGAATAACTTTTTTTTTTATATTAATATAGTACTCTCTTTGTATATTGGCGTACTATTTAATTTACAGGTTTCTTATAAAACGAATATTGGAAGTCGTTGTAGGATGCCAGGTAGTGATGTCTCTTTTTCAACAGTGGATGATACCTTCCGTGAAAAATTCATTGATTCCCTTTAGCGTGAGTATTTTAAATATTATTACGTTTTTATAATATTTCACAAAAGAAACATCTTGTTTTGACTTTAAAAAACTTATTTGATTAAATCCTCGTATAAAGAGAGAGAGGGGGGAGGGGGAGAAAATACATTTCATATTTATAATATTCTTCCAATAAATCAATTTTTTGTCCGAAGCGCAACGTATTATTCGCTCTCTTACTAGCTTTTATTCTCGAACAACATGGATAATGATCTATTGATGTCTCGTGCGATATCTTGCGCTTTATTACGGGAGCTAATTATTTATCGCTGTAGTCATAAATAAACCGGACTAACCGTGAAAGCGAAATAACTGGTAAGATAGAGGGGCCGGGAGATGAGCAGAAGTGTAATTTGGTTTCGGCAAATAGGTACGATCAATCTTTCGAGTAATGCTTTCGCCCGGAAATTCGATACACATAGATATACAACGAATTCTGTGTGCTATCCCGGACAAGTATCACCGTGCTACCGAATTCTCTCGCGCGTTAAAATACACAGGAAAAAGGGAGCTGTTGCATGCGCTGCAGTTGGAGTAATATTATTGCAAGTTGCATCTGTAGGCAATATATCTCTTCACAATATAACGTTGCGTAATATCAGGAATACGATGTAAATTGCATTTCTTAAAATGCTAAACAGATGCGAAAGGAAAGGAGACTAAGAGTTTCAGCGACACGTACAAAGTATATTTTTTATCGCTTATATTCGCTCTAAAGTACCGCTGGTATATTTCATGATGTTAATAACTTTGTCGCGTGAAAATTCGCAGCATCTCCATCTGTCGCGACAACAAAACATTTACAGCAGTAACAGTATATACACCCAATTTATTTTCGCGTTGGGTGGCGGTTCTTAATAAAAATAAGCGAAAGTGAGAGGAGGAAGGAAGAATGTGCCAGCGACATGTAGTTTTTCCCGTTTGCGTTGCAATAATGCTCGGGGCACGCCATCAGTTTTTATCTCATATGGAGGTAAATCCTCCTACTGCTATGATTTGTCAGTTATATTTGATCTTGCGGGAGATTGACGCGAGTGATATTTTCGTTGCAAATATCCCACGCGTTCACTTGAAGCGTTGTGCCCCGTCGGTGCGATAAAAGTTAAATACGTTCGCGGAATTTAAAATTGTCATTTATTGTCGACGTGAGATTCAACAGAGATTTGAACGACATCTTAATTTTACTCTAATATCTCGAATTAAATATTTTAATTCTCATTATCAGCGAGTATTGAATTGTGGATACGACAGTTGGTTTACCTATAATAATTATTTTCTTCTCGAAAACAAGAATTTCCTTTTTTCTGTTCTCTTTATATTTCGTAATAAATGTAATATTTCGTAATAAATTATGTAACACGTCATTAAATACGTAACATGCATCATATCATCTCTCTTTTTTTTCTGGCATGATTTTTATTACATTTTTCTATGAAGGTAGATAATGAAGAGAGATATAGCATATTTTATAAATTAATTAAAAAAGTTGACGCGCGCGCGCGCATGAGGAGAGACGGTTTAATTAGCCAATTATCAATCGTCGTCGATGAGGTGTGATAAATGAACCGCTTAATTAAATAAGCTACATTCTGAGGGGAAAGAGGGGACTGTGGAAGGGGAAGGGGATAATTTAAAGCGTTAATTAGAGGAGAGAACCTGATTCGATATTTATATGTACTTTTTAATCTCGCGCGCGTGTGTACTTATAGCTTTGATCACGCGGTAACGAGGGGTGCGTCGATTCATGTCGCAAACGAAAATTTTCCATTGCGTGCTCATGAGAGGACCATAGATTTAAATGGAACCTTTTACGTGGTCGAGCTTAACCGCATCTGATCCGTGGCTGGCATCCGCGGTTCACCAGCTACGCCCATATTTCATACATAATGTTATCGAGAATCCAGATCCTACCATCGATCCGGTAGAGCTACTGATAATTCTACTATTCACGCGAATGCCAAATGCAGTAGCTTACGGTAAAAATTCACGGTAGAAACTCTTGGCTATAAATTTTGCCGATAAAACACAATGTTTATATTTATATTTCTTTTATTTAATAAAATTGAAATTTTATTTAATGAAATGAAATTTAATTTATTTAATATAGAAATTAAGAAAACACAAATAGACATAATTAACCTTTTGATTAAATTTGATAGATTTCCTTCCTTTGCCCCAGAACGCTTTTTAATTTATAATTATTTATGCAAACATGACGAAATACGAATTATAAATATGATATTTAAAGCACATTTAGGTCAGAAACCCCAATTTTAGCTTCCAACATGATTAAAAATTAATTAGACGCTTTGCGCGCGTGTAATTAATAAAGAAATAAAGCTATAATAAAACAGATGTACATCGGTACAAATATGATAACGTCGACAACGTTTGCATTTGCCAAATTTGTATAATTAATAAACAATATGATACATCCCTTTCTAGTAAAACTCATGTTGTCATTGGAAAGAGCAATCTCTTTGAAGTGCCTATCGTCAAGTCTGATCCGCGCACTCCCATGTTACAATCGGATGCATTGTTGCGGAACTTTGCGAGAGTGTTAGCTGCTCCTTTCCATAACCACGCTAGTCGGAACTTCCGTATTCGTGATTAGGTACGTTCCCTTCCTCCATTGTGTTCTAAACTATATCGCGTGTGGGATTATTAAGCGTTTCGAATTGCTTCGAATCGGGATCGACGCGAGCCACTCAACGGAGAATCGATTCTCGACTGCATGATTTCATGCCGCAGACAAATTGCTTCTGCAAATCGTTTGACGCCTCTCTCTCTCTCTTTCTCTCTCTCTCTCTCTCTCTCTCACTTCCTTTTCCTTCATCTTTCTCCTTCGTCGTTCCCCAAAGAGACTCGAAGGAAACGCTTAAACGGGACGCACCGTGGTTGGAAACATCGGCATCCTTTCGCCTCTCTCGCAAAGCACTCGAAATCGCAATATCGACCGAACGCAAAGTAATTGCCACTGCTGCTAGTTAATGCAGGGAAGTTAATATCGGAATCGAACTATTTCTTTGGCCATTTCGATTTCTTTCATTCCCAAACGCTTTTCGCGCACGTTTCGCGCGCTATTCTTTCTTCGCTCGGCGACAAATTTGGATTTGATAATTGCGAGTAGCGATTACGACAGTCACGTCCCCGATGGAGCGTCCAGCTGGTGCTGAGAGACGCTCTCTCTCTCTTTCTCTCTCTCTCTCTCTCTCTCTCACTTCCTTTTCCTTCATCTTTCTCCTTCGTCGTTCCCCAAAGAGACTCGAAGGAAACGCTTAAACGGGACGCACCGTGGTTGGAAACATCGGCATCCTTTCGCCTCTCTCGCAAAGCACTCGAAATCGCAATATCGACCGAACGCAAAGTAATTGCCACTGCTGCTAGTTAATGCAGGGAAGTTAATATCGGAATCGAACTATTTCTTTGGCTATTTCGATTTCTTTCATTCCCGAACGCTTTTCGCGCTCGTTTCGCGCGCTATTCTTTCTTCGCTCGGCGACAAATTGGATTTGATAATCGCGAGTAGCGATTACGACAGTCACGTCCCCGATGGAGCGTCCAGCTGGTGCTGAGAGACGACGTACGCTTCCCTCGGATTTAACCCGGCGTGGTATATCATTGTCACCCGGCGCGGATGTCACGAGGGTGACAAGAGGAAGGGGATCGGGAGCGGGAGGGAGATCGAGACGTCCCCGATGGAGCGTCCAGCTGGTGCTGAGAGACGACGTACGCTTCCCTCGGATTTAACCCGGCGTGGTATATCATTGTCACCCGGCGCGGATGTCACGAGGGTGACAAGAGGATCGGGAGCGGGAGGGAGATCGAAATTAAGAAATCTACAAGGATATTGCTTCCCTCGGGTCGCGAGATCGAGAAGAGGGAGAAGAGGGGGAAATTGATAATATTGCGGAGATGATACTTTGTCGGAGGGTAATCACTTTTTACCGGCGTGCTCCAGACTTGAGCCTCGTTATTCTTATAAGGCGGAATGAATGGATGAGAAGGAGAGTCGGCACTGCGCGCGACCGGAAATCCTCACGATTTCCTCTGGCAAGCGGACGATTAACCCTTCCAGCGCTAAGGGAATCCGTCGCATTGCGCCTGCTTAGTACCAACGTGTACTTTCGCATGGACGATTTTTCACGTGCCCAACGTGAATTCAAACGTAATTCTGTACACTTTTTATTTACTTATTGCTTTATTTTTGTATCATTTTCTACCTTTCATATTTCTTTTCCTTTTTTTATTTTCTATTTGCGGAATATAGAAATTTGTCTATAATCATTAATGTGATAATATCTCTTGCAATTCAACGGCATTAATACTGTGAATGAGTCCTTTACATTGCGAAAATACAAGGATAATTACCGGCTCTTCCGTAGGTTCCGCCTACAGGATTGTGCGGTATTTCACTCTGCTGATCGATTGAGCAATCGAGGAGTGGCAGGGAGAGTGCATCAAGTTTTGGCTTATCGGCTTACGGCACACTGCAGCTTAAAGGGATAAGCGTTTAAAGGATTTTTGGGAGTGCGTTGAAAGTGATTATTACCACAAAAAACATGCGGTTTTATGATGGTTAGCGGTAGAACGTATGTTGTATCCATCTCCTAACATACTCTATATATTTGCCATTTATAATTTAACGCATTATATGTATTTAATCTAACACATAATATATATTCTAAAAAAAATATAGAAAGCAAGAAAGAGAGAAATTTTTCTGAAAAAATAGAACGTGGAGAAAAAACACTGTCAAAAATTTAATTAAGAACTTGTAAATATTTAAATGTGAATCGTTTATTTAGAAAAAATTTTAGTTATGCGCGAATTTAACGTTCCTTTATATATCTTTATCTATTTTTCTCGCGTATTGAATCAAAGTGCAAGGGTCAAGAAGCAACGAATCGAGAAAAGCTGCGCAACATGCATACCATTCGCCTATTGTTCGTTTTTCTTGCTGTCGGCAAGATTCCAGAC